GTTCGTTTGATATTTTATAAGGTAGATTGATCATAAAAGTATGGAGATAATTCTTCTCACATATGAATGTAAAGGTATTAGTGGGATTCGTATTGTCAGCGTGACAATTGGAGTGCTTGATGGAGGGTGTGTTGCGACATGCAACTCACAGCCGGGAGTAAGTCCACGTAAGTTTGAGAGCTTCTATAAACTGTGATCTCTTCATGCCCCTAGGTAACCCTCGTTCTTTTGATAGAAGAAACCAGACTAATAGTGAATCGGTCTTTATTTAGACCGTTGCGCAGTCGTAATGGAGCGTTGGACTACCTGTTCAAACACATAAAGCTTTTCAACATTCAATATAAGACAATAGGAAATATAATGCCTATGCAAAATAAGGAAGTGAATGAATACTTGGTCTCTGTTGTTTTGACATATGCTTAGTTATATGAGGTAAACTCTTAACCAATCAACCTAATCTGTTCCAACCTTATATCTCCCTAAAACATCTGAAGCACTGATGATGGCACAGGACGAAGTCACCAATTCTATATGCTTTATCGGTCATATATCTTGAGAGGGCTGAATAGGGCGAGGAGAACAAAAAACGAGAAGCAAAGCATACAATGTTCATGTCTATTGAAATTGAGTCAATTGTGGTGAAATAGCAAAGGTATGACTACTTAGTCTAAGGTTCTATTATTAAGGCACTTTTTAAGCAAGAGCATTCCAATAGATCAAAGGAAACAGGCGTAAATATGGTATGAATGGATAAAAACTGTATAAATGGAAGTGGTTCTAAAATAAGCTGAAAGTATACGACTGTGTGAAGTTTTAAAATATAGTACTGAAAACAGTATTATGATACACAAATGACTTCTCCCTTTTTTATTTTTATTGATTTTATAGGGTCATGAACACGTTTCGTCTTTAAAAATTGTCTAGTTTTGCTTGCAGTAGGATTACTCGATAGGAAGTGAAACCAACTCAGCGTCACAAACACTATCTAAAGAGGTATTTCGTATGATCAATTAGCATCAGTACCATTTTTATTACAAATCTAACTAGTGTTGATAAAACACATATTAGACAGATGGCCCACTAACTTAAAATGGTTGACAGTATTTCAATTAAAATTGTCGTAGCCTTCGAGATTGTGTTTAAAGTGAGAGATTGGTTGTTTTTCAATAACTCGTTATTTTGATAGCTGAAATAAGAGGAGGATATATCAAATGAGCTAGTGAAATAGAATGAAGGGTTTACCCAGGAGGAAAGGGTTGTAAAACTCTCTGATCGAAACCGTACGAGGTGCCACCAGGGGCTGTATTCCAAAAAATCTGGCGCAGGCCGACCGTGAAGTGTACTGTCATTTGCAAAATAGTCTTGATGGTTAAATTCGTAGCCTCTGTTATTGCTATTTGCATTAGTGTGAACATGAGAAGGATCTACTGCACTTGACCGGAAGCAGTCACGATTGTTATTATATATGGGAGCCGTTCTTGCGTAGTAGGTTGGTACTAAAACATGGAACGCTCTCTTACTGAGAGTAATTACGGTTGTAACCCTGAGGAATATAGTTGTGGGGTGCGAAACCTATTATCACCATGCTTATTAATGGTTTAAGGCTTTATGGAGTAAGTGGAGTGATCGGTACTCTGATTGTTTTTATTGGTCTGCGTATAAAAAGAGTCGTTACACTCAGGCCTACGACAAGTTTTGAAACTTAGAGGTGTTGACGGCAAGTTATGTGACATTAATGAGGAGAACCTCTTCATTGTTGTCGGATGACCCAACGGACAGTTGGGTTCACCCTTACGTGTTTCCCTATTCTGTATCGTGGACTTTATCTCCCCACCCTTTTTTGTCAGAGCTGTCGGGTTTCTTTGTCTTTCTGAGATTAATTCAAGTTCAGTTGAGCCATCGTGTGGAGTACGTTTAGGGAAACTAGTGTCGTCACGTGGTTCACTTTTATGTACTTTACTGCTCAAACAGCCGAAAATAGAAATTTTGTTATGCTTTTTGGTGACAGTTAGGATCCGTATCTTATACGACGTTTTCTGATCTGCAGACTCATCTAGATCTACTGAGTGATCTGCCAGTTGTGCAGTGACATAATGATGATTGCTTGCGCGCTTTAAACTATTTACTGTGCTGCAAACTGTCTATAGAACGTTACTTGCTATAACACTATCATGTAATCCTTTCGCTTCACGTCTTCTTACACGACGATGACAGGGCGTTAGGTCTGGAGTGACTTTTGTGCTCTTGTATGGAATTAATGAGTTAATTCTTTTGCTCGAATCAATAAATTGTTTAACGTCATTATAACAGCTAAACTTAAACAGAACAGGGCATACCGATCTACCCGACTTTTTTCTAAGGTGGATGACTTGGCAGATGACATTCACCATACCCCATGCTCTAAGGCGAATGCCCCTTATTTTGGTGTGTGTGATCAGGGAGACTGTATGAAACTGCATTGTAAGGTGGCATCACTCTTTTCGTCACTTCTTCAGGCAAAAACTTTAAAATACATTCAACTTTGGTGATTTGTTCAAGATTTATATCAGTATTAAGGCCTCATATATGTGTGAGGGGTGCTAATTGGCTAAATCTACCATCAATTTTGGCTAGATAGTTTTGTAACTGACGGATATATGAGTACATAGTTCTTATTAAGTATTGACCGTGTTAATACTAGGATCAAAGACTGTGAGTATATATTTTTTTCCAAATAAAAGGTGTTCAGTTATTACATGAGAGATTAGCGATCACTTAAATGTTAATATTTTAATTAGTATAATCCAGAGATAAAGACGCGTCATTGTCAATTACTGGGGGCTTGTATAAGATATGTAGGAAACGAAGTTCACGATATGTATGAAAAACTGGTAAATGTCCGTCAAAATTGTCTTCCTGTGGTAAAATGTACCCGATATATAAGATAGGATGGTGATCTCAGTAAAATACAGTCTAAAAAAGAACAACTCGAAAAATTTCTTAATCACATTAAAAAATGTTACCACTTTCAAATTTAGTCAGACCCATTACCGTTGTACTATGGTCTAATTTGGTATTAGTACCATAATAATAGACCTTATTCCAAAATCGTAGATTCGTCGTGATATGACTACCTAATCTATAAGATCTTAAGTGGAAGTCACATCATTTTCTATACCGACTTCTATCGTGATAGTTGACACGATTATGTTTAACACCTCTGAAGGACACACTTCGTCTGAGCATAAAATGATATATTTGATAGGAAGAGGAATAGGTTACATGATGACCACGCCAGGGTGGTCAAGCCGAGCCACACCAATTAAGTATTCAGGCGTATACCGTCTCTGACCTTCTCTATAGCTTTGAATCTTGCATGAAAGTTCTTCGCTTATCCTGCATTCGGCTTCAAGAATCGTGTTGTTGAGATCCAGTAACACTATAGAAGAACACGTATCAACAGGTCTGAAAGAAGGATACCCTACCAAGATACCGAAGGCTCTTGGTAAGCGTGTGAACCATGAGGGGACTAAACTGCTGTCAATACTAGGTGAAGCTTTCAACAGAGTGTTGTTGAACTGAGTAAGAGATTCAGTAGACGCTCAACTTCGAGATCAACAAGAAGGATACCCCAAGGATCAATCAAGTGCTGACCGAATCGTGATCGGAACTCGTCACAATACATCAACTTCCTTGACTATGAGTAAGCATTTGACTGAGTGGCGAGGAAAACTTTATGAAACCCTTCCCCACACCATTGTCAACGTAATACGGAATTCTTACAACAGACTACAATGCAAAGTCGTGCATAGAGGACATCTGACAGACGCGTTCCGAGGCAAGACCAGTGTCAGACAAGGCTGCTTACCCTCGTCATCCCTCCTTTTTTCCGATGGTTAACTGGATTAAGGAAACTTCCACATGTCCGGGGAAAACACAGAAAGCCATGTACACCTTGTATGAGGCTAGACGATTAAGACTTTTGAGATGACATAGCCCTTCCATATCAAATGAAGATGGACTCATCCAATGTAGAATTAGTCTCTGCAGTGGTTCGTTTCAACATATACAAGGGTAAAGGAAGATCATATAATGCAGCACAAGTAGCAACAACCAAGGCGCGTTTGATAGAGAAGTCCTGGTAGAGGTGGGAACTTTCACACACGGGTAGCATCATTGATAAACAAGGAGGATCTGATGCAGCTGTAAAGGTATGGATTGGCAAAGCAAGGGCAGCATTCCCACAGTTGAATAATACCTTGAACTCAAAACAACTGCCAACCAACAATAAAGACAGAATTTTCAATACGAATGTCAAGACAGTTAAATTGTATATGGGTGAACCTTGGGGATTTACCACAACCATCATCAAAAAGGTACAAATATTTAGGAACAGATGCTTACGCAAGATATCTGTTGGGCAGACACCATCGACGATAGCCTATTGTGACAGAACAAACAAACTTCCAGCTGAAGAGAAAATCAGAAAAAGGCGCTATTGGTAGACGAAACACACTTTTCGAAAATCCTCAAACTACATCACGAGACATGCCCTGGGTTGGAATTTTCTGGGCAAAAGGAAGAAAGGCAGAACACATTGCGCCGGGAATCGGAAGCAGATATCAAAAGAATGAACAGAACTTGAGAGGAACTGAAAGTAAGACCTGAAAACAGCGTTGGGTGAGGAATCCTAGTTGGTTGCTTATGCTCCTGGAAAAGTAACATGAGCGAAAAAGATTATGGTCAATGAACATTTTTACAACATTTAGGTTTGATCATCTTAAACTTACCGCTTCGGGATGGGTATATAAAACACCGAGGATAAAGCACCAATGATTCTACGGGTGTTTGACCTTCATCCATAACTGCAGGTAGTGCCATTGGGCCGAATATCTAATCTCATGCCTAAGTGATTGTGATTTATCGCTTTTACCACAGGGTGTAGGTGCATCCCTAAATGCTTAATGTGTTGTTGATTAACTTTCCATTTTGTTCTATTCTTTAAATCCCCTCACATGTATATGTGCTTGTAAGCGTACGCTGCTCAGCTGAGCAGCATGCTCTTACAACACACAACATATCACAAGGCTAGACTCAGACCACTGCATATTTAGATCTCACTTGGGGATTTACCTCGAAGTCACTCCCAGGCATCTGATAGGGCTGCACACCGATGTATATAAAATGAACAACTACAAAAATTACTAAATCGCACCTGTACGGGTAATGTGTAATCTCCGAAATAATAATTTCAGTCATCCAGATTACTGTAGATACTAGTATCACAACCTCACATAATTTAAATTATTTCACAATTGTGGTAGTTTAAACTATCGGAAGCTTTTAAGATAATGTTACGTATGACTGATAACCAGCTACTGTTCTAACTAACAATGAAGTTTATTTTTTCCAGGTTCTAACATTCGTATAACAGAAGGGAGCTTAAAATGTTCTTCCTGTATTCCGGGTCAAAAATTTTGGGAGCACAGGCAATTACTAAGAATATACGTAAATTCTTGGGTACTGCAGTTGAGCCTATTTTGAAGCCAGAAATAAAGCGAAGCTCGGTATATTTTGATTTATGAAGTGTAACCTGAAGTTTAAATTAGATTTTCATCAACAATGAGTGGGTAGAGTCATCTAGTGGAAAAACTTTCAACACTATAAATCCAGGAACTGGTAAAGTAATATGTCAAGTTTCGGAAGGTGATAAGGTAACTCTTGTCTACCTTTAGTATTTCAGTATTCCTCATTTTTAAAGATTTTGAACTAATGAGTGTATATATCTTGGCAAATGGTCACTTCTTTAATCATGTTAAGTTATATGACATATAAACGGTATCTATAATATATATAACCATTCTGCCCGTCGCTAATCCTCGGTTAATGAAAAAAGTATTTCTTTCAGCATGACATCTAATTCCATTCGGTTATAACTGTCCTTTTATAGAAATGACGACCTTCATATTTATTTATTTATTTGAACATAAATATTGGCACAAAGGGGCACCGAATACATATGTGCCACTCAAGTCGCTTGATTGTTATGTGGGCTGTGGTACTGCCCGAGTTCCCAGACTGTACCGGGTGGTTTCCCCAGGGGGCCACACTCGGACCCTTCGACCTAAAGGTCTGATCCACAAGGCAGTGAGGCAACGTTAGGAGATGCAGTCCCATGATAGCCAGTGACCAATAATTGGTTCATACACCATTTGTTCCCTCAGGATACTAGAACCCATGTGTACATTGGTTTGGGACCAGGGTTTTCCAATTCCCGTAGTTGGATCCTCCTTATCCACCATCCTGGTTAAAGCGTCGGACTATCGGGCGTACCTTTATATTGGAGTTGAGCTTTTGATTCGGTTGTTAACCCTAGTGTTTTTTATGCCACGGCTACTGCGTAAAATTGATTGACGTACTAGTTATGTATTTACTACATTTAGATTTTTTGTTATGGTGACCAGTTTCTGCTTGCAGGTTATAAAATTGCTTTCAGTCACTCATCCTGATATTATGCTTTTTCTCAATTCTGGTGTAAGTGATTTATAATCTCCCAAATTTTTGATTTATGCAGTATTAGAAAGACTTATTGAATACATTTTATTTCTAAACTGTATGGTGTATTATTTTGGAAAAATATTGTTCTGTGATGAAGTTATTTTAATTTTCTTAGCTTATTGAAAAAGTTCATTAACTGAGCCTTAATTAACCAAGTATTTACAATAAATATATATTTGATATATCTAAATGAATAGAAAAAGTACATTTCTGACATTGGGATATAACAAGAATATATGTATTATTAACTTTTTACCCAATACTCAATTTATTTTAAATTATCAAGTACAAGCTTGAGATTGATACCTATAAACACGTATTTATAAGCATTAGTGTTAATGTTAAAGTGATGATCATATTTTTGCTTTTAACGATTAAACTTTTACTTTTCTACGTTTCGTTCTTCATACAGGTTGACATAGATAAAGCAGTTAAAGCAGCTCGTAAAGCCTTCGAATTTGGTTCCGAGTGGCGTACCATGGATGCATCACATCGTGGTGTATTACTTCACAAACTGGCTGATCTTATTGAACGTGACAGAGTTTATTTGGCTGTAAGTGTTTGTACACTTAGCAATAACTTTTCAAGTTACTGTGTACACTTGAATGGAGTTGGAACAAATTGATTTCTGTTCCCAGCCTTCAAATTTCTGAATGTACTAAAATTTATATGTTGCTTGTGATTTTCCTTACGAATTTATTAATGGTGAATGAGCACTATTTCTAAAATGCACCATGGTTAATTGAAAATGTATTTATATCATAGTTTTTCATTGGATGCTTCTTCTGATAGTTTATTTACTAATTTTTTAGACTCACATAATCTAAAAGTTAATCGATAAATAAACAAGACAGTTCAGTGTTATGTGCTATGTGCAATGAGATATTTCGTTATTGCATACTATGTAAAAATGACATTAATAATTAAAGATCGTAAATATCATGACTGGATCAGACTGGAGCAGTTATGTTCATTCTTTAGCTTCCAGGTTTTGGACATTACTGAGTTTACTTATTTCTCCTTCTGTTCTGGATATGGTGTTTTGATTTCATTAAGCTTGTTTAGGTTGTTGACAAGGTGAATAAATCACTGATAGATAGGTTATACAGGAAGAGATCACATGGTCTAATCATAATAATTTCTTAAGAAAATAAGCAAGCTCTTGGATACGAGAAACCTGGTCAGACAATCAGGTTTTTCTGTCAGTCAATCAGTCTTTTTTTCTCAGCAATACTGTTCTTTTTCTTTCCCTGTTATTTTAAAGTGTGTAAATGTGAACTAGTGAACTTCGACATCAAACCTCTACGTTGGTCAAAGTACTTGCATGTGCATATTCTATTGTTAGTTAATTTCTTATTTTATTTATGTAACCAATATCCATTACATATGTTTATTTTTATCCAATCTCCTTATTGTTTTAGTCTTTGGAAACACTGGATAATGGGAAACCATTTGCTGATTCATATAATATTGATCTAGATTTAGTGATCAAATGCTACAGGTTAGTGATTAAAATACTTTCCATCTTGTTGATTTTATTGTATGTTTGCATTTCATGTCCCATGGTAACCGGTGACCAACGATTGGTTCATACGCCATTTGTTCCCTTAGGATGCTGGAGTCCATGTGCACCATTGGTTTGGAATGAAGGTCTCCCAACTCCCCTAGGTGGACTCTCCACGTCCACCAACCCGGTTAATGCATCGGACATTCGCTTTTTGTCCTGTCAATTTCGTAAACAACACGTGTGGTGCGAGAAGGCAGTGAGTAGGACTTCTCTCTCAGAGGCTATATACGCGTGGCCATGTGAGAGCATTTGGAGAATGAGAGCTGACTCTCCCCACTCTCGGCCGTACCAGGGCATTTGGGGGCTGTGATTATAGTCAATCAGTCAGTCATTGGTATGATGATAATTTTCGATTCTTTATTGATTAATTTGTTTAGAGACAAGGTTACATTGGTCTAGTAGTCTTGTCTAATTCTGTCGGTATAAAATTAAGCCACTTTATACGTGCATTTAACTTCTGATGTAATAGTGATACTCAGTGTAATAAAATCAAATAATTTATCCAAATGTTCGTCAGTATTAGAATGAATAGTTTGATATCGATTGGGCGACAAACACAGACAAGTCATTATATCTGAAAATTATATTTGAAATAATCTCAGAGATTAAAATTTACAATGCTTCCGACGTTTCGTCCAACAAACTTATCCGAACTTCTTCACGGTAATAATCAAAATCATCAAAGAAAAATATATATAATGCTTAACAATCAAATCAAATCTTTATTGTGCTAATCCGATCATATTTGGATGTTGACCTTAGTAAATAGGACAACATAAGTCAGTTATATGCGAATCATGAAAAGATCACAGTGTGAAAATAAATGAATGGATGATTGTGTGTGTGTATGGAATTAAAAACTATATGGAATTGAGGAATAATATCGCATCATCCATATGGAAGAGGATGAAATGATGACAAGTTTTGATGTAGAGAAAGGGTTCAATTACTTGTTAAAGAATATTTGAAAAGTAGTTGCTAGTTGAATACCATCCTTTCTGTTCAGGCTGTTTTTATGTGCCCATTTATACAGCGCTTCTGCTGTCAATGTTTCGTTATGAGTGTTAAAACCTCTATCGCCAACCTATTCTCAAGTTTTTTTTAGATCAACCGAGGATTTGGGGGCATTTTTGAAACACTGTTTGTGTTCCTTCAACTTCACATTCAATTGTCTTGGAGTTTCTTCCACATACGCTGCATGACATTCGATCTCATGGACAACATTCTGTTGTTCTTCCTTTTGAAATCTATCCTCAACCTTCACTAATGCTGATCTTATGGTGTCACAAGCTCGAAAATACACTCTTATATCATGCTCACTTAGAATCTTCTTGGTTTCTTCCGGTGTTTCACTACGTTATGGAATGACCACGGTGGACTTACAATCTTTCGGTATACATTCTAGTTTAGTTTTTCTTTCATTTGTAATAATCTTCTTTGGGGTAATTGCTATCCCTAAGAGTAGACAAAGCTCCATTAAATTCAGCTTGTTGGTTTTCCTTATCTGTAATGAGATTAATACTCCCGGTAATTAAACTTTTTACAACTGTGATTTTCGTACAATACGCATGAGCCGAACCGTATTCTAAGTATCTCTCAGAATGTGTTGATTTTCTGAATACATTTATTTTCAACTTATTATTATTATGTCTTCGTTCAACCAAACAATCGAGAAACGCTAGTTTATAGTCATTGGATTCTATTTCCATTGTAAGCTTGATGCTATCTGAAATGCTGTTTACATTTTCAAACAATTCTTCTAAACTATTTAGTTTAATAATAACAATAATGTTATCTACATGCCGTAACCAAACTTTTGGTGGACAAACACATCTTGTGATCGTGTGGTGTGGATTATTTATATCCATATAAGCAGTATATAACGGTGTTCAGGCATAAAATGTATTTTAGCAGAAGATCGACAAGGAAAGAAAGGAAACGGAACGCAGTCGGTATGAAAATACATGAACAATGAAATCTGAGACCATAAATTGATATTTGCAAAAAGAACAGTGAAGTTTGAGACGATGTATTGATATTTTGCAAATTAACGATTTACTATGTGATTCTCAGACTTTATTAAGATGCTCTGTAATTTCGTGTCAAGTACATTCGATTGTCCCCACTCGTGTTCTTGTTCACTACAATTTCACTGGTTTCTAGGAAATGCATGAATAAATTCGCTACAATCGGAGAAACTAGTGAACTCATTGCTGCACCTTCGTTTTGTTTGTAAAGTTCTCCTCTAAGTCTTAATAAGGTGGATCGTAAACACAATTCCAAGCACTTAATAAATTTGGATGGATCTAACGGGCATCGTGAATTTGAATCTGAGTTAGATTCTAAACAACAATAATATCAAATGCTCTGTTAACTGGTACGGTAGTAAATAAGGAAGATACATCAAAACTTGTCATTATTTCATCCTCTTCCATATGGATGATGCGATATTATTCCTCAATTCCATATAGTTTTTAATTCCATACACACACACAATCATCCATTCATTTATTTTCACACTGTGATCTTTTCATGATTCGCATATAACTGACTTATGTTGTCCTATTTACTAAGGTCAACATCCAAATATGATCGGATTAGCACAATAAAGATTTGATTTGATTGTTAAGCATTATATATATTTTTCTTTGATGATTTTGATTATTACCGTGAAGAAGTTCGGATAAGTTTGTTGGACGAAACGTCGGAAGCATTGTAAATTTTAATCTCTGAGATTATTTCAAATATAATTTTCATATAAAATGAAATTAATCATAATATAAAGTAATTTTAATGATGAGTTCAGTGTTATGTGTTGCGATTGATCATCAAAGTGCTATATGCTATCTGTCAATTGTATCTTTCTCAGATGATACTTCTAGCACATTCTCAAATCATAGTGTAGATACACAGAACTGTATTTAATAACTCAGTTAGAATAAATATTTAAAACATTTTCAGGGAATGACAATATTGCCATTCTTTGTAAACTTTTTTTTGTGTTTGTAGGACAGAAGAAATTATTTATTAACATTAAGGTTTCATTTGAATGGATGTACTAACATATTTCAAGCTGCTGACGAAGATGCTCACTAAAATACAGAACGAAATGTTACGATACGACAATTGATTTCAAGTTCTTATTCTCACAGTTCATGTTTTATTCACTTATATTTAAGAAGGTTCCAGTATTCAGTTTTAAATCAAACTAGAAATGGTTGCTATAATAGATTCTTTTATGTTAAAACCAGATACGATATTTTATCATAATTGTAGTAGCATGATCTCTACTCTAGTCAATCTTGTGCTTGTAAATATCGGTTTTGTTTACATGTTTTATTGAAGTATTATGATTTAAGAAGATAAGAATAATGGCACACACCAAATGGCATATGGACGGGGTAAAAATGGACTTTTTAAGGCTTTGTACAGTTGGTTATATCAAACTTCATTGTTTTTACAACTTAATAATGAACATTTTTTTATAGGTATTATGCTGGCTGGGCAGACAAATATCATGGGAAAACTATACCTGTCAATGGAAACTATATGTGTTTCACTCTTCATGAACCAGTTGGTGTTTGTGGACAAATTATACCGTGGAATTTTCCACTTCTTATGCAGGCATGGAAGCTCGGTCCAGCATTAGCAATGGGAAATACAGTGGTAATGAAGACAGCAGAACAAACCCCGTTGTCTGCAAATTGGGTAGCTGAATTAATCAAAGAAGCCGGATTCCCACCTGGTGTAGTGAACATTGTTCCAGGGTAAAGAAATTTTTTAATGGACTCACCCAATTTTTTCAATGCTTTTTTTTCTAATTAAGGATGTTTCTGTAAATAGGTTAGTAGACTTTAACGGTGTTGTGTTCTCTGAGCCAGGTTGTTTAACTGCAAAGTTTTTATTGTCTTTCTGGACAACATCAGCGCATGATTTACATATAAGTAAGATTGCCAACTATTCTAAAGTTGTTGAATTAGTTCGTTCCGATGGCTTTAATTGTGATTGGATATCTCCGTAGATTTTGTTGTTTTTACTTGTTCGTGCATTCATGTTGATTGTTTTTAAGGTTGAATTTCAACTTATTTGGTCAATATATACTCAAGAATAGTTGAAGGCAACAAAACTTATGAGGATATCTAGTCACAAACAAGATTATCAAAGCAAACCAATTGGACACTTGTAGAATAGTCGTTCACTCCTTCATGAGATAGACGTTGACGATATTATTCAGAGCGACAATAAACGTCTTGAAATCAAACCATTTGACTCAGACAACATAACATTATCAAAACATTCAAATGAGCTGCAAATTCAATTTTCCAAAGATTGATAGGTTTTATTTAAAGGTCGTCTCAAAACTCAGTGAGTAATTGATTTAGGCGCTATAGAGAACGTATAAACTTCGTATGGGCTTGAATTAAGAGTTTTTAGTGTGATGTAATTACTGTAAAAATGGACAGTTTATTTTTGGGGATCAAAAAACTTTGAATCTACATTTCACTCTAGTTGACATTATTCAGTACAGTGTAACTGGGATTTCATTCGTTGTAAAAATTTATATGGTGATAATTTTTTTTCAGTAAAATTGGTTTACATGTATATTTTCGCCCAGCAGTTCGATCCGTGTAACATCATTATCTGATAAGAACTTTCTTCAAAGTGTTTACCATCATGTCCACTTCGAATTGTGTGTATAATAATTTATAATTGAGAGTAAAGAGAATCAAGTTATATACAATCACTTATCGGCTCCTTGAAAGCATTCTAATGGCGTATGTAATCATCAGAAAGATAAGTAAAGCAGCCACGAAGATTGATCGATTGTATGCTTATGCGTATATATTATTGCAATTAGTTACCTTGTTAGATGTGGGTTCAATTCGTCAGTTGCTAATTTTATTTGTGTAAGTTAAGTTGGTTGAGATGACCAAGACTACCAGTATATCGAGAAATAATAATTTTAAACAGACAATGTTGAAAATCGATACTACTGGCAAATACACTTTCATAGTGTGATATGGTTTACGCTAACAACGATTACTCTAATGACACTTCAATTCAGGATATGACAGCTTCTTTACCTTTTAACCACGACTACTCTATAGCGGAAGTCCTTTAAAAAAGTTGTATTGATAAGGAACACAGAAGATCCAAATTACATTCAAGTTTATTTAGTTATATAATAATGATTATTTTTACAGTTTAAAACGTGAAGTGATTATAGCTAGACTATCATTGAAAGCGTAAAAGCACTGGATGTCTGTCTCATCCTAGTATGAGACTCAGTCTCGGTGGACATCCAAGACTCTGTATCTGGGAATTGAACTATTATAACTAGAGTAATTTTACGTTGCACGATCGCCTCATTGATGTTTTCACTTTTATATTTGAGTTTCCTGAACATTCGTGAAGTGTTCATGTGCTAAGCTACTATTACGGAACTCGAATTTCTGTAGATGGGACAAGACTACTTATATTCTCTTCTTCCCTAATCTACTAACTAGATTAATAAATCAAGTTTCCTTGTAGAAGCTATGTTAATCTAGACCCCAGTAGAATAGTATTGCATTTGGCTCCGTCAAGTGAATATACCGATTGCAATGATTGGAATTTGTGGATTGATAATTTTAGCTGAACACAAATCATAGTGAAAATGTGTTGCAAGTTCATAAAATAGTCAGTCAGTCAGCTACAATGTAGAACCACGCGCATATATGCATCGGTCCAAGTCTCCATACCTCATTAACACAGCAAGATGGACTCTGGATTCATAAAAGTAGTTAATTCAGTTGTGATAATATATAAAAGAAAGATCGCAGTAAGGATATAGTACAGGAAGAAAGAATTAGTTTGTAGAAAGAAAGATATGAAGTGATTTTAATCTCTTAGTTTAAGGGAAGACAGAGAGTGTATACACCGATGCCATTGTGATCGATTTTGAGCCATGTCACCTACAGTCTCCAAACATTGGTTACGATAGTCACGCGGACACCAACCACGTAGTCTGGATCTTCCAACATGGCTCAGACTAAAAGTTAGTAACTTCAAGCACTGATGCCACGTCATAAAATAGTATGAGAAAAATGTTTTGCATTTCGGCCTTACATTCACCTTAAATTGATTTTGATTCTTTTTCTTATAAATTGTATGCTTATGCGGATTCTACATGCCTAAAATCTGGTTATTGTAGAAACTATTTTAAGTTTCTAAGTTGAATCATTCATTTTCTTATCATTGTTACATAGATTGTACTGGTTTTCTAAGGTTTTACCTAGTTTCTTTTACGTACGTGATATTCACGAGTTTGCAGGTCTAATGCTATTTTCTATCAAGAGTATAACTCGTTTACAGAGTTTAGGTTTATCTATCCTGTTTTAAACTACAGTTTATCTAAAGTTTAGTGATAAGGCCCGACTACTCAAACTAAAGTGGGTGGACTTTTGACCAAGTTTTATTTAATATACAATTCAATCACTAAATAGAGTACCCATAAACAATGTTTATGATGATGGTAGTTTCAACAATTCAGTCACTCGTAGACAGATTTATTCGAATAATGTCATTTGTACAATAAGTGGTTGATCAATAGGGTTCGAGAGAATAATTTTTGTAGCTCGCTTGGCATCGTTTTGTTCGATCCTTGTTACCGAATTTTGTCCTAGCTCGACTTCATACAAATAATTGACTTAAACACCTGAACGAATGCGTTTACCTCCAGTGTAGTAATAAATGAGTCGCAACATCAAATCTTATTGGATAAAGTATATTTGAATTGAGCTTGTCTTCAAGTAGATTAATCAGGTAGGCAAACCGCGGGTGGTTTATGATGACTTATAAGTTTTAGTTGAAAATAACTACTCACATGATAATTATACACTTGACAACCAAACATTTTTCTTACATCCTTTTATTACTGGCTGAAGAGAATAGGTATACTAAACAACCAAAAAAACATGAAATGAATAATTTCGCCCAAATGTCCTGGTACGCTACAAAACGGAGAATCTGTTCCCCCTCTCAAAATACTCCTATAAACTCATGTGTTTATAGCCACTGACTGCTCACATCGGGCGTGTTGTTTACGAAATTCGGAAGATGAAAACGAAATCTTCAACGGAGGCATAAACTGCATTGGTGTGTACGAAATATCGACATGGAGGATTTGGAAAACCTTGATTCCAAACCAATGGTACAAATGAGCTCATGGTTCCTAAGGGAACAAAAGGCATATGAATCTATTATTCATCACCATCTACCATGAGACCGCATCTCGTGAAGTTGCTTCAATGTCTTGTGGATTAGATCTCTAGGTCAAAAGGATGGGGAGTGGCCCTCTAAGAAAGCCATCTGTTTTGATTAAGGCTATTGAACAGTATCCCATCCCTCGCGAAAATTCGGTGTGACGCATATATATCTTGATTCCCCTTTTTACCAATGTTAATTTGTTCAAGCGTATTTCTCTCATTTCACTATCCACTTTTAACCTGTTTATTTCTCAACAATTTCGATCAGATTTGGTGAAACTGCTGGTAATGCCCTAGTCGTTCATCCTGATGTTGATAAAATTGCGTTTACTGGTTCAACAGCTGTAGGACAATTGATTGGTCAGAATGCTTATAAACATGGTGTGAAACGAATTACTTTAGAACTTGGCGGAAAGAGTCCATTAATTATTTTCAGTGATGGTGATTGTAAGTTGTATTGTAAATCAGTCTTTTTTAACCTTTGTAGTTGTAGATCGTCTTTCCCACTGAATTGAAATGATTTAATTTGTACAGTTGTATCCGTGCTCATTGTACTATTATTTTCTAGTCAAAGATGATTCCTCATTATCGGTCCAAATAAAAAAAAAACTAAAAAGTATTGAACCGGTTTTTCATCCTAATTCGAAGCTTGTCAATATTACACATACATGTGCTCTATTTTTGCCTTCATAGGACGAAAACTGCTGTCATTAATTAAACAAAAATGTGTCCAAAAGGTGAAATTGATGAACTCGATCTCAATTTCGATAGACGTCAGGTTTATATATCACTGTAGTAAATTGTATTACAGAAAAGGAAGGCATATCCAAAACTTTTAAAATTATATGGGTAATTCCTCTGTATCGGCAGGAAGAGTTCAATCCAAAATGCAGGTATCAGATTCATTAGAATAACGCATCAACAATTGTATAAAGTTTTTAGTTCTCGGGTCGTTTATATACATGTAAATAATCAATGGTTCTACGACAAATAACAAGTAGCTTAAAGTTAAGAAAAAAAGTCAATCAAAGCGATAAACTCAAGGGCAACGACCAATTCTCAATACATATCAATCCAGTAATTTCAGGCAAATAAAAATTTATCGATTAGTAGGACTTAAAAATGGACAGTCTATAATTACTATAGTATATGGGTGAATAATTGACAATTGTATGAATGTTTCCATCAAACAAAAGTTCATATCATTACTAGTAAGGGATTGAATTATCCCATGTTTTTAAATCATTTTTAGTGTAGATTTGGATTATATCTTGACTGAATTTTGACCAGTCTTTGTTTGGATATGCACATCCCATGCAGATTACTGCAACATAACTATTATATTGAAATTTATTGAGAATAAATTGGTTGTGAGTAACAACGGAATCCTGGATACTGGTCTCATCTTGTTTGGTACTCGTTATCTGAATATATCTACATTTCATTGTTGGTGTTCACTCTGAAAAAACTCAAACACGAGCTGCTAATGATGTATACAACATACTCACTGGATAGGTTAGTGGCTATTCTAGATTCAATACCTCAATGAAGAATGTATTTAACGTTTCAAGTGAGATACAAGGTTCGAGTCCGAATAGTTGAACGTCAACACTGGGATTTAGCCGGTGAATGCAATTAATAAGTCCCTGGATTCCATTGTTAGCCACTACTTATCTATTCTAAATAAAAAGTCTATTTTATTTTCAAAGATTATTTCACTCTATCATAACCTACTTTATTCATTTTACATTACTATTCTTTTTAAATTTCAGTTGATCGAGCCATAGCTACGTCACATTTTGGTTTATTTTTCAATCAAGGCCAATGTTGTTGTGCAAGTTCACGTATATTTGTCGAAGAATCAGTTTATGATAAATTTGTTGAATATAGTAGTGAAGAGGCTAAAAAGCGTGTAGTTGGTAATCCTTTTGATTTAAACACAACACAAGTGAGTAATATTTAAGGCTATTTAAACATTTAATTATTTCCTAGTGAAATTGTAATTTAAATGCATGATTATGTAATGTTCATTATATAAATATTCATTTGATCTGTATATGGTTTTTGGTTACGCTAAAAGGATCGGATATTTTCTAAATATGATGATTAATTCATTCATTTATTTAAACACGTTAACATTGGTAAAGAGGGGGGGGACCAAGATATATATGCGTCACACCGGATTTTTGTGAAGGACAGGATACTATTCAATCGCCTTAATCAAAACAGATCGCTTCATTAGAGAGCCACTTCCCACCCTTTTGACGTAGAGATCTAATCCACAAGACATTGAAGCAACTTCACGAGATGCGGTCTCATGGTAGATGGTGACAAATAATAGATCCACACCCCGTTTGTTGACTATAATTAAAGTGGTATTTGTTTGGTGGGTTCAATCTCGTACCATCTAGTGTAAACATCAATATGCTACCTATAAACTTATGAAGTGACGTTTATATTAAATTCTTAACGAAGAATTGGTTTCCTTGAAGTTTCACATGATCTTTGTAACAACCGTTAAGGTGTTTGGCTATACTCTACCATTTATTTTTTCTTCAACCACTTGCTCATATTGGCAAAGACGGATAGTGGCTAGCAGTGGAGTCCAGGACGCGCATGTCGTTCTATTTGTGACTCGTCAGCTAGATGTACCTGCATATCAGAGTTGATGCTCATCTGGGACTCGAACCCAGTATCATTCGCTTCAAACGCCATCGCGTTATCCACTGCTGGTCACTATCCATCTTGGCTTATAAAAGCTTTTAAATTAAGGCAATATCGAGGCACATATGCCAATAACAGACTGATCAATTGCAGTCTTAAACGTCAATGGGAAGATACAAGCAAAATAATACCAAGTGAATTCACTTGCTTATGGTTTCAAACCTTTGGTCAATGCTCAAATCTCTAACAGTTGGCGAATATTTTTTATAGTTAGTATTATATCATTTTGGTTTCATACTAAAATGCGGTTATTTGTTATTCAGGGTCCACAAGTTGATGAACACCAATATCAAACAGTTATGTCATACATTGAATCTGGTATAAAGGAAGGTGCCAAATTATGTGCCGGTGGCAAACGGTTTGAATCAGATGGTTACTTCATTCGTCCTACAGTTTTTGCTGATGTTCAAGATGAGATGCGCATTGCTCGTGAGGAAGTAAGTTATTCTGTTATTTATAGTTTGTTTCAACTTGTATGTGCTATACATGGTGGATATTGTTGAGTTGTTCTCGAAATATGGATCCAGCAACACCAGCTAATTTTCAACACAGAGAAACATTAAAACTATTGATACATTATGACTGAATAGATAAGTTTCTCTGCCAACTAAAGAATGAGCATACTGAACAGCAGTTCAATTTGTTTTAATTTGTGGTTATGGAATGTAGCTTTTAGAATAGAGGATATTCATAGGCTTCTAGTGTTTGAACATAATTACCTCCAAAACACTTATTGCATTTGTTGAAACGTCGAGTTAGCAATGCTGAGGTTGAAATCAAGGTACTGGGTAAATATAGCAAATCGGTTGACAAGGTTGTGAATCCTCATCGACTGTGGTAGTTGGGACATGTTTGATGTATACCTAACCACCACCTGCCTCAATGCGTTATGTTCATTGGTGTGAAAATAGGTTGGAGGAAAGCTAGCGACTTCCAAACCAAGACGTGATGTAAGTTCATGAATTCATTGACATTTGGATTAAGCCATGTTGTTGGGTGCAGACTACTAGGGTTCGTGGTTAACAACGGTTAAGAGATTTTGGGTGACATGGCTTAGAGTTAGCCATCCTTTGTCTTCTGGCACTATGACAGGTTAGCACAATGACTCAGATGTGTTCGCCCTTTGTCTTCCTATAAACATTCTGTTTTTAAAATCACCCTGCGAACGATATATTGTGAAGTTCGAGATGCTTTTACTTTTTCTTTTTTCGAATTAATTAAATAAAACAGAAGACTGGAACTTCGGAAGAGAGACCTTTAATATTCTGAGAAACTACATGAGTCAACATTACCTTGTGCTTAGTACAAGGTAACCAATAATATCTAGACAAAATTTATGATAATAACAGTGGTGAAAATAACACAATAATAATAATTGTTACTGGGGTAATCCTAAGAATTAGTACTAATACTGTAGTGAACGAGAACACAAGTGGGGACAATCGAATGTATTTGAATACAAAATCTGAGGACCATACAGTAAGTACTTGCAAAATATCAATCAGCTGTCAGACTTGACTGATTCTTCTTTTCCACACCAATCACACTCTGTTCTCGTTCTCTTCTCTTCGATCTTCTTAACCTTCTGCGTCCATGTATTTCGCTTTCGATTGATGATACATACTACTTATATCTGTCTATATCAGTAGCGCACACTACAATACAAATTCTATTCATGTATAACAGTAGCTAATGATATTGATTTCTGTCCTTTTTTTCTGTTGTTGTAGATATTTGGACCTGTAATGCAAATTATGAAATTTCGATCATTAGATGAATTGATACATAGAGCAAATCATACACAATATGGTCTTGCAGCTGGTATATTCACTAATAATTTAGAAAAAGCTATGCATGTTATGCAACATTTACAAGCTGGCACTGTTTGGTAATGTTAATTCTAAGTTTTTAATAATAATTGAAATGATAAAACTACAAATTGTGGACAGTGTTTAAAGGACACTGTATTAAGCTTGAGAAAATTCACCTACTTACTAGGATTAAAAGCTAAAGATCAAAGGTTAAGGTTAGGAATATGAGTTAGAGTTTTCATTATTAACCAGCATCATTTAGAATGCTGAAATTCTGTTTAGCCGTGTAGATGAGTAGTTTCCAGATCAAAATCTAGGACTAACTATTTTAAATATCATCGGTGTGCCCATATATTTATAGTCTCACCGTTGAAACTCATTACCTTTTACACTAATGTATATTATTTATAACGATACATTTATTATATTTCAATGTCGGATTATTTCACGTAGAGTTGATTACTTACTTACGCCTGTTACACCTCGTGAAGCAGCATAGGCCGCTCACCAGCATTCTCCATCCAACCCTGTCCTGGGCAATCCTTTCTAGCTCCGTCCAATTGTAATTCATCGTTTTCATATCTGCTTCTATTATCCGACGCAATGTGTTCTTTGGCCTTCCTCTTTTTCGCTTCCCTTCAGGATTCCAAGTTAGGGCTTGCCTCGTGATGCAGTTCGACGATTTGCGTAATGTATGTCCTATCCATTTCCATCGTCTTTTCCTAATTTCTTCTTCAGCTGGAAGTTGGTTTGTTCTCTCCCACAGAAGGCTATTGCTGATGGTATCCGGCCAATGGATGTTGAGTATCCTGCGTAGACAGATATTTATAAATACTTGTACTTTCTTGATTGTGGTTGTTGTAGTTCTCCAAGTGTCAGCTCCATACAGTAGAACTGCCTTGACGTTCGTATTGAAGATTCTCACTTTGATATTGGTTGAAAGTTGTTTTGAGTTCCATATGTTCTTCAATTGTAGGAATGCGACCCTTGCTTTGCCGATCCTCGCCTTTACGTCTGCATCGGATCCTCCTTGTTCATCGATGATGCTTCCTAGGTATGTGAAGGACTCTACATCTTCCAGAGTTTCGCCATCAAGAGTGATTGGATTGCTGTTCTTCGCTTTGAATTTGAGGACCTTAGTTTTCCCTTTGTGTATGCTGAGGCCTACTGATGCAGAGACTGCTGCTACACTGGCTGTCTTCATCTGCATCTGTTCGTGTGTACGTGATAGGAGGGCTAGGTCATCTGCGAAGTCCAAATCGTCTAATTGGTTCTGAGCTGTCCATTGTGTTCCGTGTTTTCCTTCAGATGTTGAGGTCTTCATAATCCAGTCGACCACCAGAAGAAAGAGGAAGGGAGAGAGTAAACAGCCTTGTCTGACTCCGGTCCTTACTTGGAATGCATCTGTCAGCTGTCCTCCATGCACTACTTTGCACTGTAGTCCGTCGTATGAGTTTCGGATAATATTGACAATCTTCTCAGGAACTCCGTAGTGTCGAAGAAGTTTCCATAATGTCTTCCTATCTACACTGTTGAATGCCTTTTCATAATCAATGAAGTTGATGCATAGTGATGAGTTCCACTCAACTGATTGTTCGACGATGATCCGTAGTGTTGCAATTTGGTCTGTGCACGACCGATCCTTACGGAATCCAGCTCGTTGATCTCGAAGTTGGGCGTCTACTGCATCCTTCATCCGGTTGAGCAACACTCTGTTGAAGACTTTCCCTGGTATTGACAGTAGTGTTATGCCTCTGTAGTTTTCACATTTGCTCCGATCTCCTTTCTTTGGAATCTTGACGAGGTGTCCTTCTTTCCAGTCCATCGGCACTTGTTCCTCCTCCCAAATCTTTTTGAATAGAAGATAAAGCATGCTTGTGGTTGCTTCGATGTCTGATTTCAGTGCTTCAGCTGGTATGTTGTCGGGTCCTGCTGCTTTCCCGTTCTTGATTTGTCTGACGGCCATTCTAATTTCTTCCGTCGTTGGTGGATTGACATCTATAGGAAGATCTATGTGTGCTGCTTCGATGTCCGGTGGATTCATTGGAGTCGGCCTATTCAGGAGTTCCTCGAAGTATTCTACCCATCTGTTACGCTGTTGTTGAATTTCGGTGATTGGCTTGCCTTCTTTGTCTTTGACCGGCCTCTCTGGTTCACTGTATTTCCCTGCTAGTTTCTTCGTTGTATCGTGAAGCTGTTTCATATTTCCTTCTCTAGCAGCTTTTTCTGTCGTCGTTGCTAGTTCTTCCACGTATTTCTTCTTGTCGGCTCTAATGCTCCTCTTCACTTGTTTGTTTGCTTCTATGTATTCAGCTTGTGCTTGGACTTTCTCTGCTCGTGTTCGGCTGTTGTTTATTACTGCCTTCTTGTTCTTCCTTTCTTTGATCTTGTCCAGTGTTTCTATAGAGATCCATTCCTTATGATGATATTTCTTTAGACCGAGAACCTCTTGACACGTTGAAGTTAATGCTTCCTTGATGCCTTTCCAGTTGTCCTCCGTAGTAGTTTCTTCTTTCAGTAGATTGTGTAAGGCTTGGAACCTGTTGTTGAGAGCTATCTTGAATTCATTGAGTTTGTCAGTATCTCGAAGGAAGGCTGTATTGAACCTTTGTAGTGCTGTTTGTCCACTTGTCCAGTTCTTTTTTAGCTTCAGTTTTAAATTGGCTACAATTAGGTGGTGATCTGAAGCAGCTACGTCAGCACCTCTCTAGGTTCTCACATCTTCCATTGTCCTTCGGAATTTTTTGTTGATGCAAATATGATCTATTTGGTTCTCTGTAGTGTGGTCCGGTGAGATCCATGTAGCCTTGTGTATACGCTTGTGTGGAAATATTGTGCCTCCTATGACCAATTTGTTGAATGCACATAGATTTGCATAGATTTGCGACTCCCTGAGTGTGTGGAGCATTGTCCTCTTCGTGACCGGAGTATAGCAGCATCTCTCCCGTAGCTAGCTTTTTCTGTCCAGCTTGGGTCCAGTGGGTTTCGCTGATTCCCAGTACTGCTAAGTTGTATCTCCTCATTTCCATTGATATTTGACTGGTCTTCCCGGTTTCCCACATCGTTCGAACGTTCCATGTACCTATAAAAATTTTTGCTCTGGTTGTTAGAAGGGGCATCGGCCTCGTGGCTTCCGAAGGAACTCGGCTTTCACCATGAAGCGTCATAATTCTTCTAAATGAAGACCTTCTAACTCCCAGGGCAGAGTTCAAATGGTTTGGGTTATTTTTTCTGGTAAGCGTTTTTTAGCGAGTTAGTTTTCTACGGGATGGGGACGCTAACCCCATGCCCAACCCTCCTCCTTTACCCGGGCTTTGGACCGGCAGCAACCCTATAAGAGCTACAGGCGGAGTTGATTGAATTCGGATTTCGTTGATCAATTCAGACTAACACCTAGGTCTATATAGAGCATAGTATTAGACATAATCTAGGAACCACTTTGTGTACACTGTCCAGCCACTCAGTCCACTACAACGTAGGACCAGACACGTATGTGCATCTTTCCAAGTCGCCATACCTCATTAGCACAACGAGATGAACACCGGATCCATAGAAGTAGTTAATTCAGTGGTGGTAATATATGAAAGAAAGATTGCGTATAAGGACATAATACAGGAAGAAAGAAATACTTTGTAGAAAGAGAGATATAAAACGATTTTAATCTCATAGTTTAAGGGAAAACAAAGTGTATGTACATCGACGCCACTGTGATCGATCCTGAGCCATGTCACCCAGAGTCTCCAACCATTTGTTACGATAGTCACACGGACCCCAACCAAGTAGTTTGAATCTATCAACATGGCTCGGACTGGAAGTTAGTGACTTCAAGCACTGATGCCATGTGTTGATTTGCCACTCCCTAACTTTCTTCCAACCATCCCCTACACTAGTAAGCTTCGCACATTGTCCATCTGTAAGGAAATTAGTTTTTACTGGAACAACTCATTAATAATTTCTGAAACACAAATAAATGAATATTCACATCTGGAACTCCAAGGTTATTTTTCTATCAGTGCTAATTTCGATGTATTTACTTCTAAAATTTTCTACAGATTAATTCAAATCAGTCAGTGTAGAGATAGCTTGATTGTAATTATTGTCAAGCTCTAATTTAAACATCATTCTACTCCTATTTTATATGAATATACAATAAAATGAGCATCCGGGCAGTATCCCAGCCCTTACATAAATCGAATGATTTATGTGGCTCATACCTATTTGGTGCCTCCTTGCACCAATATTTATATGTTTAAACATAAAATGATCAGTCGTTACACTTTATGAGATTCATTGTGTAATGACTTCTATCGTTATTCTAATTCTTGTCATTTCCACACCAAAATGTCAGACATTATGGTAAACCATACACAAGTTTAAATTTATTTACTGTCATTACTTGAATGTTTATGATTGTCAGATTATTGTATAGTGAGATTGCTTAATTGTTTATTATCTAACGATTTAGGCGTAGTAAACAAGAGTTATGCAAAAGTTGATCATTATGCAAACAAGTATAGATCAATAACGGTACTATATTAATTTTCTTACTTGAATTACTTTTAAGCACTAAAATATCACAGTTGAGATGTGAGTACTACTGCCTTAATGCCCCCAAATGCTCTGGTATGCCCGAGAGTGGAGTGGGCCCTCCCTCCCTCTCGAAATGCTCTCACGCGGCCACGCGTATACAGCCTCTGCCAAGGAAGTCCTACTCACTGTCTTCTCGTGGCGGGGGTGTTGGTGGCTTCTTGTGCCAATGTTTGTGTTTAAATAAATAAACTGCTTGAATAATAGATGGAAGAATGTTACTTTTCTACAGGTTACGTAACATTCTTTTTGGGAGTACTGCATTCTAGTGTACTTGTAATGGTAAATTTATCAATAATGTGTATAGGTATTCACTTCAAAATAAAGAAAACCTAAAATAACTAGGTTGATTGCACCATTTTTCTGGCTATTAGTGTAGTGAACGAGAACACAAGTGGTGACAATCGAATGTATTTGGATATAAAGTTACAGAATATCTTAGTAAAATCTGAGGACCATACAGTAAATACTTGCAAAATGTCAATCAGCTATGTCAGACTTGACTGATTATTCTTTTCCACACCAATCACTCTCTGCTCTCGTTCTCATAGGATGGTGAGTTCTGGCTCAGAGAATAAAACTCCACCTAAATAGTTTTTGTGTATAGTAAAATGAGTAGTGTGGAAGTATAACTTCTGAGACTATTAGACATAGGATTATTATTATTTCCACTTTATAATTAGTAGAGACTATATCCTAACTTCTCTTCGGACTCAAGACACGGTTTGCCCCCAAATGCCCTGGTACGGCCGAGAGTGGGGAGAGTCAGCTCTCATTCTCCAAATGCTCTCACATGGCCACGCGTATATAGCCTCTGAGAGAGAAGTCCTACTCACTGCCTTCTCGTAGCGGGGGTGTTGTTTACGAAAATGAGAGGACGAAAAGCGAATGTCCGGCGCTTTAACCGGATTCAAAACCAATGGTGCACATGGGCTCCAGTATCCTGCGGGAACAAATGGCGTATGAACCAATTGTTGGTCACCGGCTTCCATGGGACTGCATCTCCTGACGATGCTCCACTGCCTTGTGGATCGGACCTTCAGGTCAAAGGCTCGGGGTGTGGCCCCCTAAGAAAACCACCTGCTTCGGTTTGGGCACTCGGGCAGTATCACAGCCCTCACACATATCGAATGAGATTTGTGTGGTGCATATGTATTTGGTGCCTCTTTGTACCATTATGTATGTGTTGAAATAAATAAATAAATAACACGGTTTAGATAAAAGCTTGGGGATACCTAACTATTAAGAGTGCTGCTTGGGCTAGCTCAAGGTTAACTATGTAGGTCATAACGTATGATTGATCAAGTCTATAGCGCTAGGTCATAATCGGAATAGTAAATGCAGGACAGAAAAAACCACTACCAGAATTCCGATAGGCGAATTTAACACACGATGCTGATTAGCATCTGTAATTATCAATTGTGTTCAATTTATGAATCTGTTGTATATTTCTTTGTACAGGATCAATTGTTATGATGTTTTCGATGCTGCCGCACCTTTTGGAGGTTATAAGTTTTCTGGAGTTGGTCGAGAACTAGGTGAATATGGTTTACGAAATTATACAGAAGTCAAAACTGTAAGTATTATGTAATACTGCCCCCTGTTCTTATTGTTTTACTCACCATCACATATGTATATTGAACAACGAAAGTAAAAATTAAGAGTTTATTTCACCTGGAGATAACTGTAAGAAAACTCGGATACTTTAGTTTTAATTAGTATCTGTTGTTAATGATCAAAACTAAGACGTTTATTACGAAAAACTAAGAATGAATATACAATCATTTATGAAAAATTACATAAATACTAAACTTAATTTTATTACACATAAGCTGAATAGAATACAGGTGATCATTACATGTTCATCAGTCAGTAACAACGTAGAACTTCGTACGTACGTACATCAGTCCGAGTTGCCATACCACATTAGTACAGAGATTCAGTTGTCGATTCAAATCCCGTAGTGGTAGAGGTAGTAAGAGTATAAGCAGTAATTGGGAAGATTAAAGTTTGAAGATGTTATTCAAGGAGTATAATCCAGTGGAATAAATTTGCAAAGAGAAAAAAAGAGACGAGGATAATTCAGGAGATTAGAATTTGGGAGAACACAGAGTGGATGCACCTGCGCCATCGCAAACGATTTTGAGTCATGTCATTCAACACCTCTAACCATAGGTTGCTATCATCCCGCGGACCCCAACCAGGTAGTCTTCACCTACCAATATGGCTCAGTCCACATATCAGTGACTTCATGGACTTGTGCCATGTTTTGGTCTGGATGTATATTTTGACAACAATCATTCAATAGAGATCATTTGTCCGATCTAAATAGAGTCAGATCCTAGGCCACAAAACTTCTCAAGATATGGTTATCTGTCACAGGCGATTGAGGAAAATGGATTTTGTATATTATTCGCACTGGAATCTGTTAAGTAACTACTCACCATATAACATATTACTTAATCCTGGCAGATGGTGTCACATTCCTTTGTTTCTACTCCTACGTGTACACATTTTAATATATGTCTATCATTTCATCCGTTGGTGCAATATTTTGGCATAACTAGTCTTCAATTTTTGACTCATGTACTCCTGAATTCAGTATTATGTCCAGTTTTGGATACTACTGCATGATTTATAAGAAACTGTTGCTCTACTTCAGTTCACTTAGTTATACAAACCAACTGATTGATATACCTTTGTTAAAGTAAAGAATAACAGATAACCTCGTTGTGCACTATTGTACTGAATCTATGATCCAGCACCAGAATTTCCGCAAGTCATTTACTTTGAACAAGCATGTCATAACCGTTGAGCAGTTTGCTTATCTTTTACCGACCATATGATAATATCAACCAAAAGGTTATAAATTAGTTTAAGGAATTAGGATCAAAAGCTAGAATCAGAGGTTAGAATTAAGAAATATGAGTTAGAGTTTTCATTATGAACTAGTATCAGTTAGAATGGATAACAGTGTTTCATGCAAAAATTTATGACTTATCATTTTGAATTCCATTGATTTGTCCATAAATTATATCAGATGGGTTTTGTGGATATTATAGTAATTTCAATGGTTAAGATCATGAGTCATTTGAAGCTAAACCACTATGGAAAACCTGGAAGCACTGGACGGCCGTTACCTCCTATTGTGGGACTCCTCAGAAGTTCCTGTAGTAAGTATTGTTTATGAATATGACCAACAACAGTTGTTCATCACAAATTAATTATCTTTATTTGAAATTGTATCAGATTTTGTGTATTCCTTTTTCTTAAATCATACACTCTAGGTAACTACGCGGATACTTCAAAAGAATTCATAAACACAGATAACTATTGGTTATTTATTTTTGTTATTCGTTATAAAATTTCTTATTTGAAATTGGTAATCAATTTGAACTTTTAACTCATGAAGGTATGATTGAAATTTTGTGATAAAATCGTGTTTGATTTTAAATACATTTTTTCTAATTTATTTATTTATTTATTTGAACACATATATTGGTACAAGGGGGAACCAGATATATATACGCTACATAAATCAATGAGAATTCGAGGAGAAAAATAAAGTAAGGAGGGCAAAAAAAGAGAACAATAACGAAGAGATTGGTGTAAGGTAGTGTAGTAATAATGAGGGAACGGAAAGATACAATCAGAAGAAATCTTTCCGTTAAGGAAGATACAACCACTTTTTTCTATGAAGAAAGTAAAAGAAGGTTACAGCAGGATCTCCACTGGCTTCTATTGTGAGCCATATCTGATGAAGTCTCTAGCCACTGTGTAGCACCATCTCTCGGGCCCCAACCAAGGAGTCGTGAAGGACCAACAGCCCTTCAGCCAGCCCTTTGCAGCTTTCTTTCATTCCACGATACCATGTCATATACTGACTACCTCTCCGCTTTTTCCAACCAGTCCCAGCGTCGGCAAATATTGCACGAATTCTCTGGGACGACATTAGTAGAACATGTCCAAGCCACCGAAGTCGGTGTTTCAAGATGGTAACACTAATTGGATTATCGTCTCTGCGCACGAACGCACGATGCCGAACCTCTGCATTACTAACATGGTGTTGCCACTGGATGTCAGCAATCCTCGGGAGACAACGATGATGGAATACAGAAAGTTGTCTAACGTCCTCAACTCGGAGAGGCCAGGTTTCACAAACATAGAGCGAAACTGCTCTCACCGACGCGTCGTAGATCCGACATCATCTGACATCATGACGGCGCCAAAGGTGGCCCAGATTGGCAGAAGTCGCTCTGGCTTTCATTATACGTGCATTGATGTCATCACTCACGCCATCACCAGTACTTGTGTAGCCACCTAGACACACGAACTTTTTGACTACTTCTATCTGCTCCCCACCTAGGGTAAGTACAAGATTGGAATCCTGCCAGTCTTGTAGAAGCACTTTACACTTCGAAGGTGCAAAGCACATACCGTACTTACGGACACTGATTGCCAACTTACTAAGTGTGGATTGCATGCTATGAGCACTATCGCACAATAAGACAAGATCATCCGCATACTCAAGGTCGAGAAGTCTTTCCCCAGGCAACAGATCCACACCACCATTACTTACATCCATCAGAGCTGTTTCCAGAATGTCATCAATATATATATAAAAAACCCGATGTCCATTACTGTAGGAAATTAGTATTTAGGTTGTTGCTTGATAGTTGATTATGGTATTCGCTTTTTCATCCTGCTTTGGATTTATCAGAATTTTAACACTGTCTCAGTATATTTATGTAGATATACCTTATCCAGTGACAGGATTGAAGAGTTTTTATGTAACTCGATCTACCAAAAAATATTTTCAAGCATGTGATAAGATTATTAACAGATGGGGAAAAAGTAAAATTAGAAAATACGAAACAGACGAGAGGTTCGGCAAGAAGTCAGGTCGCATTTAGATGCTTACTCTCTGATAGGAGGTGGTTTGCAATTTGTCTCGTAAGTAGGAATACATTGGAGTGGAGTTTGCTCATTATATTGTATTGTTAGTGGAAGACCTAAGTGATATTCTGTAAAGTTTGTGGCAAAGCTTCGTCGTAGCCGATCCTATGCTACGTATGCAAATAAATGTGTTTTGACAATTCTCCACCTTGTATTTTTGATGGTTCTATCCATCCTCTTCTTATAGCTCCTTTAAACATTTATAATCAGTGGTTCTCAACAACTTTTTGTCTCCGACCAAGACATGAACATAGAGGTTGGGATTTTCTAAGTGGTTTTCAACGAATATGAAAAGCTGAAGGAGGCCTACAGTGACTCTCTGGAATGTCTTGTACATCTGTAAGCTGTAGTTTGTATGCTCTACAAATGAATAAATGAGCACATATATATTCTGAAAATGTTTATAGAATTCATGGATGTTGAAAGGTATGATCAGCCTGACATGGATAGCACCGTCAAATGTGAGAGACTGGTGTATAATTTTAGATTTTATATCACGGACAGATTGTGGCAGATTATTTTAGTGTCGGAAATTTATTCGTAAATTAATTCATATAGAGAAGAATTAGAGTAATATCTTTTTACTAATGATAAGGAGTTTCGGATATCATAGGCAGCTCTCCATTTAGTATTTTGACGAAAAAGATTGTATTTTTCCTTGCAATAATGAGTCGAGTTCATGCTTATTTCATCTGGATTTGTAATTGGAGTTACAATCGCTCCTAAGGAGAAAAACTAAATCGCTTCTGTACGTACTCCAGCCTTAACTTCTCGTTTATGCAAACACTGATAGGAAAGGAAGCTCAGTATTATAGGAGTGGTCGGACACATACTTTGTACACTAAAATTCATGAGCCGTCATAGAGGTTGTGAAGTATGTAACTAAGACGCAAAGTCGCTGTTCCACACAATTCCTAGCCAAAAAAGGAATGGTCCTGTGGAATCCATTCACTATTTCTCCGGGTGTAAGACAGTGTGCGAAACTGAGTCACCAGATGATGGGTAAATAGCACCCTGGTTTCCAGACACCATCTAGATCTCCAGCTCTGACAGGATATATACAAAAATAATTCGTTAATGACAGGAGAAAGATTGGACCTTCACCGTTATGCAGCCAGTTCAGGAGCACGACGTTTGTCCTCACACACAAATATTCTTCTTTGTTTGACTTCCAAACAGTTGATTCGACCGCAATCGCTGCGCAAATATTGTGTACTATGTTTGAATATTACTGTTTACTTAGTACACAAATGAAGTATGTAGAATACTTGTTCATAGCTCTTCAATGTTACGTCTTTATATCTATGATAATTCTGTTTTCCATCCTACCTAATGGATTGTGTTGCATTAAGTGTGCTTGTAGAGAGCCTTTTTTATAGGATTATTTGTAAGATGATGATTACTACTTCAAAGTAAGTCCAACGTTTATGCTCAGATTATTGACTTGAATTTATTCAAAATGACCTGATGAGGATTTATGCTAACCTCAATGCACAATTCGAGATAGTAATTATCGGCTTTCAGGCGTAACTAAGATTATTTTAAGTAGTTGTAATTAGGAGAAAACGTAGAAAAGGCTATATACTCAAGATTTATAAGCAGTTTGATTCTGACTGATTGTAGGATGTGTTACTCCTTAATTTCGCAGTGAGGTTGGGGAGGACTTTTAATTCGTTTCTGCACTGCACACTGAAATGACAGCATTACAGGATAAGCGAAAATGGGACAGTGAACGACATACGCCGCGTGTCACGGTTTACTGCCGTGTCCCGCCATTACAACGTTGTACGTTAACTAGTCTGGACATATAACATATATTTGTTGGAGTGTGTTCTTGTTATTTTGCCAATAGTAAGGTATCGATTACATCAACAGCGATTTAATAGAGTTTGAAAGTTATAGCCGGTGGGGATATGGTCCTGATACTGGAATCGCTTACCTACGACTTCTCACTTCTTGCCAATTGTTTGAAATTTCGGCATGCATAGAACAACATTTTGGTCATTGTCATAGTACTATTCACCAACCATTTTTAATTTTATTTTTTTGTTGTGACAGAATATTGGGTAGAATGTAGTGTCTAGTGCTAGTAAATACTCATTTTACTTTCAGCTGCGGGTCTGAGGGCAGAGAGCATGCGCCAGTAAATGCCAGGTAGATCAAAATAATCTCATATCACCAAATCCGGCAGGTGGGCTTGAGTAAATAAAGGATTTCAGTGTTCTTTAGCTTTGGAGCCTTGCATCTTCAACACCAAATCTTGTGTAACTTCATTGATGTTGTTATCACCGCTCAATACGTTGGGGTTTCTTCTGAAAATTTCACCTCACCTTACTAATGAATTGTGACTACCTGAATGTTTGCGAAGTTTGCATATGGTTGACAAGCTTCAACTGAAGCTGAAAACAAACTTATTATATTTTCTACCTCTGATGTAAAGGATGATAAAATTTCCGCATCAGAGATTTACGTGAAAGGTGATTACAAAATAGATTCTAAGACCAGTTTTTATATCGTTTTCATTGGCGATATTGCCAGTACGCAGTCAATGGTCAATGAAAATTGCTGCAGACATGCCGACTTCTATCATACGATCACTCATTCAGACAAGCGTTTAAATGAACAAGAGCGTTACGAACAGCAAAGAAATTAGAGTTTATTACTGCAGAATATTAGCTGCCATATTCGTTTGAAGTCAACTATGCTACCATTCATCATCAGCTTGAAATCACTCAAAGATATATGCATCACAGCGACGGCGCTAGTTGTAAAAATTGTTTGATGAGATGGTTGATTATGTTAACGTTAAGGCTAAAAATGTTGCCAGTTTAGTGGACCTCTAAGTTAATCGAAAATGTAATATTTCAAGATGAATAGTAATCATGCACATTGAGGTAGAATGAAACGCAATGACATGACCGAGAAATTTTAAACTCTCCATTCAATGGTGTATTTGGAAAACTTTGTTCAGTGACTTTAATTCAACAGTGCCAGTTACTGCGTTAGTTCTCTCCGTAGGCCAAATATAATCTGGATCTCCGTACATGATGCTTCATGTTTCGAAACAACATTTGAAGCACTAGAAGCTGATGGGCAGAATAATACAGCATGTAAGCTCACGAGTAAAATCCAATCTTTTCATACAATGTCCCTACAGTGATATTATATTATCTAAGCATTATTCATAAGGTTGCTGTCATATTGTATTAACCCCTTCATTTACTAGGAAGGAATAAAATTTTCACAGATTTCTGCATAAGCCTTGCTCTTAGAAATTGAAACTAGTGCGGAGTTTTGTTGTATGGTCTTGGTTGAGACAAATGTCCCTCTCGTATTCTCTTTGATAGACACTCGACGCCTTTTTGCAATTAAATGTTTTATTAAAAAAGGGGCCATACATTAAACACGATGGTCTCATCCTTGTCACGTTCGAAGGGCGAGCAAAGAGGCCTAGAAAGACATATCTTGGTCACCGTGATTTCTGTGTTATCCATATTATTCGACCAGCATTCAT